CCCTTCCGGCCCTCGGTGAGCACACGCCTGTCGTCACGGTTACCCTCATCCCGAACATGCCTGTCGTCACGGTTACTGTGGTCCTGCACATACCTGTCGTCGTGGTTACCCTCATCCCGAACACGCCTGTCGTCACGGTTACCCTCATCCCCTACACACCTGTCGTCACGGTTACCCTCATCCCGAACATGCCTGTTGTCACGGTTACTATGGTCCTGCACATACCTGTCATCGTGGTTACCCTCATCCCCTACACACCTGTCGTCACGGTTACCCTCATCCCGAACATGCCTGTTGTCACGGTTACTGTGGTCCTGCACATACCTGTCATCGTGGTTACGCTCATCCCGAACACGCCTGTCGTCATGGTTACCCTCATCCCGCGCACCCTTGTCATCATGGTTATCCTCATCCCCTACACGCCTGTCGTCACGGTTACCCTCATCCCGAACATGCCTGTTGTCACGGTTACTGTGGTCCTGCACATACCTGTCATCGTGGTTACGCTCATCCCGAACACGCCTGTTGTCATGGTGACCCTCATCCCGCGCACGCTTGTCATCACGGTTATCCTCATCCCCTACACGCTTGTCGTCATGGTTACCCTCATCCCCTACACGCTTGTCATCACGGTTATCCTCATCCCCTACACGCTTGTCGTCATGGTTACCCTCATCCCCTACACGCTTGTCATCACGGTTATCCTCATCCCCTACACACGTATCGTCATGGTTACCCTCATCCCAAACATGCCTGCCGTCATGGTTATCCTCATCCCCTACACGCTTGTCGTCATGGTTACCCTCATCCTGCGCACGCCTGTTGTCATGGTTACCCTCATCCCGCACACGCCTGTCGCCGTCCTCATCCTGTGTGCTGTCGCGGTTGGGGTGGTCCTGGCCATGCCTGTTGCCATGGTTACCGTGATCCCGCACACTCCTGCCATGTTTGCGCCAGTCCTGCACATGTGTGTCATCATGATTGCACAATCTTACACATGCGTGTTGGTGGGGTCCCGCACATGCCTGTTGCCGTGGTTACCCCATCCTGCACATACATGTGGCCCCCCCCCGGTTGCACATGGTTGCCCTGGCCCTGAACATGCCTGCTGCCATGGTTACTCTCACCTGGGACATGCCTGTTGCCATGGTTACCCCATGCGGCACACGTATGTTGCCATGGTTACCCTGGTTCCACACACATCCCAACATGGTTACCCTGGTCCCGTGTTGCCAGGGTTACCCCGCTCCTGCACACGTATGTTACCATGGTCTCCGTGGTTACCGCGGTCCTGCGCACGCGTGTCCTCACGGTTGCCCTGCTTCTGCATGTGTGTGTTGCCGTGGCCACCTCGGTCCTACATACATGTTGCCGCAGTTCCCCAGCCCCTGCCCACGCACACGTCACCGTGGTTACTGTGGCTGCGTACATGCCTGTTGCCATGGTTACCGTGGTCCTGCCCACCGGGTGACCCCGTTCCCGTGTCACCACAGTCTCCCCCCCCATCCCTGCACACGCGTGTTGCCATGGTTACCCCCATCCTGCATCCCCATGGTTACCCCGTTGCTGCGGTAACCTCATCCCATGCTCCCCGTTGCCACGGTAACCCCGGCCTGTGGTACCCGTTGCCGCGGTAACCCCGGTCCAACGCTCCCTGTCGCCATGGCAACCCCGGCCTGCGGTACCCGTCACCATGGCAATGCTGCTTCTGTGCTGCCCGTTGCCATGGTAACCCCAGTCCCGTGCTGCCCGTCACCACGGGAGCCCCGGCCTGTGGTACCCGTCACCCCGGTAACCCCTGTCCCAGGCCGCCTGTTGCCATGGTAACTCCAGGCCTGTGGTACCCGTCGCCATGGTAACCCTGGGCCTAGGCGCCCACCTCCATGGTAACCCTGGGCCTAGGCCGCCCGTTGCGCCCCCCCCTCAGCCGCCTGTACCCCAGCAAGGCTTCCTGAGCCGCCGCCTGAAGAGCTCCATCAAGAGAACCAAGAGCCAGCCCAAGCTCGACCGCACCAGCAGCTTCCGGCAGATCCTGCCCCGCTTCCGCAGCGCCGACCACGACAGGTGGGGACAGCACGGGGACACCTTGGGGACACCCTGGGGACACCCCCGGGGACGGTGTGGGGGCACCCACGGAGGCGCGGGGATGCTCTGGGCGGGAAGGAGGTGGAGGGTTGAGGGTGACGTGGGGACAGTCCTGCCCAGGTGGCACCAGGGTGGATGTGGGGACAGTCCTGGTGTGCAGGTGGCACCGGGGTAACATGGGGACAATCCTGCCCAGGTGGCACCAGGGTGGGTGTGGGGACAGTCCTGAGCGCTGGGTCAGGTTTGGGGATGGTCTTGATCTCTGGGTGACATCAGGGTGGACGTGGGAACAATCCTGCTGCCCAGGTGGCACCAGGGTGCATGTGGGGACAGTCCTGCTGCCCCAGTGGCACTGGGTCATGTTTGGGGACAGTCTTGGTCTCTGGGTGACACCAGGATGAGGATGGGAATGATCCTGGTCCCCAGGTGGCACCAGGATAACGTGGGGACAATCCTGCCCAGGTGGCACCAGGGTGGGTGTGGGGACAGTCCTGGGCACTGGGTCAGGTTTGGGGACAGTCTTGGTCTCTGGGTGACACCAACCTGGGGATGGAGACAGTCCTGCTGCCCAGGTGGCACCAGGGTGGACATGGGGACAATCTTGGTGCCCAGGTGGCAATGGGGTAAGATGGGGACAATCCTGCCCAAGTGGCACCAGGGTGGACCTGGGGACAGTCCTGCTGCCCAGGTGGCACCAGGGTGGACATGGGGACAATCTTGGTGCCCAGGTGGCAATGGGGTAAGATGGGGACAATCCTGCCCAAGTGGCACCAGGGTGGACCTGGGGACAGTCCTGCTGCCCAGGTGGCCCTGAGGCAGATTTGGAGGCTCTCCTGCCCGGGTGGCACCAGGGTGGACGTGGGGACAGTCCTGCTGCCCCAGTGGCACTGGATCATGTTTGGGGACAGTCTCGGTCTCTGGGTGACACCGGGATGAGGATGGGAACAATCCTGCTGCCAAGGTGGCACCGGAGTTACATGGGGACAATCCTGCCCAGGTGGCACCAGGGTGAAGATAGGGACAGTCCTGGTTTTTGGGTGTCCCCGAGGTGGGGATGGGGACAGTCCTGCTGCCCAGGTGGCCCTGGGTCAGATTTGGAGGCTCTCCTGCCCAGGTGGTACCAGGATGGACATGGGGACAGTCCCGTTCCCCAGGTGATGCCGGGTCAGGTTTGGGGATAGTCCTGTTGCCCAGGTGGCACTGGGTCAGGCATGGGGACAGTCCTGCTCCCCCGTGTCCCCAGGCTGGGCACAGGGATGTCCCCATTCCCTGAATGTCCCCAGACTCAGTGCAGGGGGGGGTTGGTCCCAGTGTCCTCCATCCGGACACCGTGTGGGGCAGGTCCCCGCTGGTCCCATTCCCGTGTGTCTCCAATGTCCCTGCTGTCCCCAGCGTCCCCATATGGGACACTGGTCCCCCCAGTCACCATGTTGGGCAGGTCCCACCACTGTCCCCCCTTTCCCCATATGGGGCAGGTTCAGTGTCCCCACTGTCCCCGTGTTGGGCAGGTCCCCCTTGTCCCCAATGTCACCGTATGGGGCAGGTCCCCAGTGTCCCCACTGTCCCCATGTGTGGCAGGTCCCCCCTGTCCCCATGTGGGGCAGGTCCCCCGTGATCCCATGTGGAGCAATTCCCCCCCTGTCCCCACTGTCCCCATGTGGGGCAGGTCCCCAGTGTCACCATATGGGGCAGGTCCCACCACTGTCCCCCTTGTCCCCATGTGGGGCGGGTTCAGTGTCCCCACCCTCCCCGTGTGTGGCAGGTCCCCCCTGTCCCCATGTGGAATAAGTCCCCCCCTGCCCCCAATGTCACCATATGGGGCAGGTCCCCACTGTCCCCATGTGGGGCAGGTCCCCCCTGTCCCCACTGTCCCTGTGTGGGGCAGATCCCCACTGTCCCCGTGTGGGGCAGATCCCCAGTGTCCCCATTGTCCCCATGTGGGGCAGATCCCCCCTGTCCCTGTGTGGGGCAGGTCCCCAGTGTCCCCATTGTCCCCATGTGGGGCAGATCCCCCCTGTCCCTGTGTGGGGCAGGTCCCCAGTGTCCCCAGCTGGGGCAGGCCTCCCCCCAGCCCTGCCAGGCGGGTTCCTGCGGTGTCCCCCCCCACCTTGGGGACACGTTGGGGACCGGGTGGCAGGGCAGGTGGCAGGCGGTACCGGCGCCGTTTATAGCCCGGAGCCGGTGGGTGGGAGCCGCCTCGGGATCCGGGCTGGCACCCGGCCCGGCGTCACCGTCACCGTCACCGTCACCAGCGCCGCCGATGGGGTACGGTCCCCCTGGTCCCTGGGGAAGAGGTTGGGAGGGGGTGGGGGGTCCCGTGTCCTTGGTGCCCCCTGGGGATGTCCCTTGTCCCCAGGGAGATGGTCCCCAAGGGATGGGGGCTCCTGGCTCCATGTCCCCTGGGGCTGGTCCCAAGGAGATCGCTGATCTCCAGGGATGTCCCTTGTCCCCTGGGGTGTCCCTTGTCCCCAGGAGACGGTCCCTTGTCCCCTGGGATGTCCCTTGTCCCCAGGGGTCTCTCTTCCCCAGGGACGTCCCTTGACCCCTGGGATGTCCCTTGTCCTCAGGGGTCTCTTCCCCTGGGATGTCCCTTGTCCCCAGGGGTCTCTCTTCCCCTGGGATGTCCCTTGTCCCCTGGGATGTCCCTTGTCCCCAGGGGTCTTTCTTCCCCAGGGATGTCCCTTGTCCCCAGGGATGTCCCTTGTCCCCAGGGGTCTCTCTTCCCCTGGGATGTCCCTTCTCCCTTGGGATGTCCCTTGTCCCCAGGGGTCTCTCTTCCCCTGGATGTCCCTTGTCCCCAGGGATGTCCCTTGTCCCCAGGGGTCTCTCTTCCCCTGGGATGTCCCTTCTCCCCTGGGATGTCCCTTGTCCCCAGGAGACAGTCCCCAGTGGTCCCTCTTCCCCAGGGATGTCCCTTGTCCCCAGGAGATGGTCCCTTGTCTCCAGGAGATGGTCCCCAGGGGTCTCTCTTCCCCAGGGATGTCCCTTCTCCCTTGGGATGTCCCTTGTCCCCAGGGGTCTCTCTTCCCCTGGATGTCCCTTGACCCCTGGGATGTCCCTTGTCCCCAGGGGTCTCTCTTCCCCTGGGATGTCCCTTGTCCCCTGGGATGTCCCCTGGGGGATGATGTCCCTTGTCCCCAGGGGGATGCCCGGGGGGGGTTCCTTTGTCCCTCGGGATGTCCCCTGCGGGGAGGTGGGGGGGGTGTGTGTGCCCGCTCGCCGGGGTATTTTTAGCGGCGCCGCCCCCGCCCCGCCGGGTGCCGGTGACACGGTGCCGGTGACGGCAGCCGGGAGCGGTGGCCGCGGGGACGGGGACGGGGACGTGGCGGGGCCGTTGCTTACGCAGCCCCGGGGATAAATATAGCGCCCGGGGGCGGCTCACCTGCGG